TTAAGATGGGCAAAATCTTACCAACAGATTGTTATTTTGAGAGTCTTTATCTTTGTCTTGCGACGCCGAATAACACAGTAGTTTACAAAACCACGCTAACTTATGACCATGCGGTCTACTTTGATTGACAGTTGTCAAACGAACATAATCTTATTGGCTAAAACTGATAACTAAAATTACTATTTAACTAATGATACTAAACGTCAATAATTGTATGAAATCGATTGCTTACAATAATACTTACACTAGCATGGTTTTTATAGCATGCAACTACCGATATCAAGACGTAYGAAACTGTGAATTATCCCATATGATCCTATAATTTCTGTAATAGAGCCAATCAACGATTTAGTCAAATAACTTTATAGGTACCTTCCTACAGTGTAAGTCTTGAACCTCAGCAGAAAGGTAAAAAGGCTTGAAAAACTTTATGCTGAATGTAATGGTTGTTTGTGTTCAACTTTATAGCGGAAATTTGAAGAGCTATGCAACGTGACCTCAGAGGTCAAGATACGCCTAAGTTAATATTTCAATATATCACAGAAGATTGTGATGCTGTCCGCTAAAAAAACTAAAGTTTGCATATTCATAATACAGTTACATAACATATCTTACCGGATATATTAAAAGCAAGAAATTAATTACCTTTCTTTTGCAGGAAAATTCTTCCAACTTTCATCTGATTTTCCTTTAGTGTCGGAAAAGGTCGTCGTTTATATAACTCGTTCAAAATTGTTCCTCTCCGGTTAAATGGTATTAAATGCTGAATAACCAAATGCACCTTTAACAAAAGTACATAAGCAGATCACATAAAGTCTACATGAAACAACAGGACGAAAACAACTGAATCCAAAATATTGACTTACGTTTTAGATCAATCACATCTTTAGTTCTTTCGGTTATAAAAAACAGTTATTAAAAGATGCGTCCAAGTTCGTGTAAACTTTCAACGCTCCGGCTAATTGTGCTCGGTGTTTCATGAGATTTGTAGCCGCGATCTCTGCTTTATCCATCATGACTCCTTACTAAAGCTTTCGCACCACGAGTGCGTGGTAGGAAACCTGTGAAACGTTCATCCTCTTCGTCTTGGCACTAGTCCCCATACTGAGTCCTTCAAACTTGTAGCTCGCTGAACACAAGTATTTAAGAAGAAGAACTGAACTTCAAAGCTTTCTTGCTCGGTACTAACTTGTATGCTT